TTACCATGCCGATGCAGAATAATTCTCGTAGGTTAATGTAAGGATTCAGAGTATGTTCTATCTTGAATGCTCGTTAGGTGAATGCTTTAGTCGTAGCTCTTCTCGTAACATAATAGGTGCCTGTTTGGATCCTCTTATTTTTAAGTTAGAATCTACTTATAAGCATAAGCTAGGCCAAACAGGTTTTGGAAAAAGCTGTTGGGTATGGGTCATACTTCACATGATGATGTTGGCCCTAATTGTCGGGGTCAGCAGAAAGGCAACTGGGGTCCCGCTCCCAGGTGAGCGGGCGGGGGTCCGGGGGAGCCGCCCCGGCGGGGGTCCGGGGGGCAGCGCCCCCGGCCCGTAGAGGCTAGGTAATGTTTAGGCCTCTGTTTCTATTGTAATTTTCTTAGCAGTTTGGGCTTGAGCCCATGAATAGCTGCTGTTAGGGTTTCTTGTAATCCTATTTATATTTGCCTTGTAAACCAAGAGACTTGTAACGAGTGGCGGTGAGGTGAATATAGTACAGACAAGCTGGACGTAGCCTATATTGGGTGAACCAGGGTAAATCATCGTGTCAATCTCTCTACTCTTATCTCTTTTTCTGTTTTCTCGATTCTATGTGATTGTCGATTTCCAACAAAAGCTCTTATAACGAAAAGCTCTTTTTTTATAATGAAGAAAAAAGCTGAAAAATTAAAAGCTCCTAGGAGGAGCTTTTTTTAAGCTCTTATCTGTTTTTCTTGAATTGTACTTGTGCTTTTTTTTAAAATGAAGAGTGATAAAGATAGAGAGAGAAATAATTTTCTTGAAATATGTGCTTTTAACTAATTTTTAAGCTAAAATTTTTATGTAATTTCCAAACAGCTTTTAGCTTCTTTTTTTAAGCTCTTTTTTTTAACTTTAGCTTATAAGTAGCTTCTAGCTATTATTGTACGTCTTGGGGACAGCTTTGACATTTGACTGGTATATATATTATTTTTCAATTGAAAAGTCTGTTTTTTCGGTAAAAGAAAATGAAAATAAAAAACTTAACTCTGTATTGAAAAAACTTAACTGTGTATTGAAAAAATTGAATTAAATTAATTGGGTAACCAATGAAAAGTGGAGAAATTTAGAAAAAAAAAGAATTATTTAAAACAATTTAAGCTAAAGTTAGATTCAACATTCTCATTAACAGAATCTGTTTGGAGTGGTAATGTTATTGGTAGTTTCCGATACTAATTGGTGTCCCTGGTTAACGGTTTAAAATTAGGGTTTTATTCTTATAATGTGATATAAGATAATGTTATTGGTAGTTTCCGATACTAATTAGGGTTTTAATCCCAATGGGTGCAGCTCAGTTGGTAATTTGGCACTGAGTTAGTGGGGTTGGATATGTGTTCGATTCCCGCTGAATGCATTTTTGGGGAGGGGGCTGAACTTTTAGCCATCACTGTTCCCCCGCACTCCGGATTAGTCCCATAGCCGACTCAAAGAGTCGAAGCTTGTGGGGACACCGGAGGGAGCCAACTCGTCTCAAAGAGATAATTAGGGTTGGGTAACTCCAAAAAAAAAAGATAAAAAATTTCTCCTACTTTAATTTTGATTTCTATGTTTTTTTTTTTTAAGTAAAGTGGTTCCCATCATTTGTTCTATATGTAGGAAACAAGAATTCTCTTCTCTTATGTGACATAAGAGAAATAAAATCCTTAAAACTATTGTTTGAATATTCAAGTTTGATGAATATCACATTAGTTGGTAATGAGTTAAGTGAAGTGGATATAAGAGAATGGATCCATGAACCCAAAGGCGGATCTGCACTTGTGCCACTGTGTGCAAGTGCAGACACAAATCTTTGGGGAAAAAAAGTAAAGTAAATTTTGGGTACTCAACAAAAATTATGGAGCCCAATTTAATTCCTTAGAAAAAAAAAACAGTCGACTTGTGATCTCTTTGAATTCAAAAATAGAGTCACTTGGTCAAAATTATGGTCCCTTCGAAATTCAAAGAAGATCCACATTAGTCCCTCAAAAGGGCTAACATGGATCTATTTTGAATTTCAAAGGAACCACGAGTCAATTTTTTTTCTAAAGAATTAAATTGGATCTCGTAACATTTGTTAAGTATCCAAAAAGTTCAAACGAACCACTTATTTATATTCTTTTATTTTTTAATACATTTAAAACTTTCTTTAATTTTTTTTTAGGGGTGCTTCCCTCGAACTCTCGTGCCCTATATGTGCAGACATAAATAAAATTTCTTGGATCGGCCACTGCATGAACCCAATACCTTAAGGTATTGGGTTGAAACATGGTGTCAGACCCACTTGATATAGTGGTATAGCTTAGCCTATTGGTGGTGGTCTCCCGCCACGGGCTTCCTTTAGAACCCGTCTGGCAGTGGTATCAGAGCCAGGTTAGGCTCGAGCTAGCTAGATGTTTGGCTAAGAGGCATGTTGAGTACTTTGGGCCTGGGTACTCGGTTGAGGGGGAGCGTACCAATGGTGTGTTTCACACTTGATGGGGGAGATTGTTGGAATATTCAAGTGTGATGAATTTCATATTGGTTGGTAATGAGCTAAGTGAAATGAATAAGAAGATAGATCCATGAACCCAATGCCTTAAAGGATTGGGTTAAAACATAGTATTGGACTCACTTAATATGATGGTATAATTTAGCCCATTAATAATAATCCCTGGTAAGGGTGCTAAACGAACCAGGGGCCTTTGGCTCGGCTCGTGAAGGCTTGAGCTTACATGTCTAAAATTGGTTGTTGGCACCAGACTTGAACTTGTATAAAAGCTCGTTTAATAAAAAAGCCTCAGTCTCCAATTCAAAAGCTTGGCCTAGTATATATATATATATATTTTTATTTTTTATATTACTTGTAATAGCCCTCTCTTTTTCCTTAATTCATTTCACCCAATTTTATTAGTTAAATAGACTTTTTGAATGATTTTGTTTTATATTATGTTGTTTGGGTATACATTGAATTTAAGAATATTTAAGAAATTACTAGTATTGTTGATTATATATTCTGTTTGGATAAATTTTTGTTGTCTTATTTTTTTTAAACAGCCTAAACCAAGCTTTTATTTTTTGTAAATAAACCAGGCCACAAGCCGATAATTCTATTTATAACAGATAACAGACTTGGTCAAGCTGACACACTTAAATACAAGCTTAGCATTTTAAAATCAAAGCTCAGTTCGGCTCGGCCCGTTAGGACCCGTAATCCCGGCCACAAACTTCCTGTAAATCCGCCTGACAACTATCATAGAAAAGGAAAACGACATAAAATTAATAGTGCAAACAACAACAAAAATGATAATATGCTTCTAAGTAGCTTTTGCAAAGAGACAAAGATATAATATGAAACAATATTCCTAATTAATAGAAAGGAATTCCTGAACTTAGCAAACAACATTCCCAACCGAAAGACCTCTGCTTCGGCGCGTATCGTGCATGCTTTGTTTTGATCTGCTAAATGCCAATGATTAGGGCTGGGCATGGATTTGGCCCTCAGTTGGCCCAAAAAAATCAACGCAAAGAGAAATACCTGACGCTTGATCTGTGAAGCCAACGAGGAGCATTGGTTGAAACTGGAGCACTTGTTAATATGCGTATTAAAAAAATAATTGGGCTAGCGTAGAGGCTCATGGGCTAGATCTCTTAAATTAAGATTATGGCCTAATTTTTAATTAAACTTTTAAACCAGCCAAAAATTGGACTGTTAAGTAAAAAGGCAGGGTCAAGTAGGCCAGTAACGCTGCAGGCCTCTGTAGACCGTGTCGACCCAGTTTCACCCCTACTTGTAATCAGGTTTTATGGTTTTTATTTTTCTTTACTTTCCTGTATTTCCAAAAATAAAAATTGAACAAAGTTAACCTTTAACCTATGACTCGATTTTATTTTTGTTTTTTTAAAACAAAAACCCTGCGTTCCTTTTTCCCAAATCAGAATGCGTAGCGACTTCGACTATCTTCTTCTAGCTATCTAACTCAAATTAAACTCTTCAGTGATCTTGTGTCCACCGCAGCTCTTGTTGTCGTTTGTCTCCTATCCCCTACGGTGCCAGTGATGTAGCCACTAAACCCTTCTAATCAGCAACATCAGTAATGGTAAGTGTGTGTCTCTGCTATTTTGTTCATTTTCTATTTTGGAACTTGGTTGTAGTAGTTAAACACTTTTTGTGTTTCTGGACTTATGTCTTATATAGTTTTTTTTTTAACTATGAAGTTATTCATTGAATTTTTAGCAGTGACTTATGTATACATGTATATATATAATTTTATATTTTGACCTTAAATAGTAGAAACTTTATATTTCGAGTCGTTTCTATGATTTATGTTTCTACCATCCCTTTTGTTTTTACTTAGAAATTCGATTTTGACAACATTGGCCACATTTTTTCCCGTCGAAAATAGCAGAGACGTTATTAGCTTGGTATAAAAATTTGTTGTTCATTACCTCATCGTCAAAATATGGTTGAAATTGAAGAGAAAAATTATGTCAATGATACTGATTTTTCTAGTACTATATTATTATAAAAATACTTTTCATTTTTTTATTTAATTTATATTTAATTTATAAATTATTTTTATTCATTTATTTAAAATTTAATGAGAAAAATAAAAATTGATTTCTTATCTTTAAACATTTCTCAACTTCTAATTATATAGTTATAATTACTCACTTCAAATACTCCCTTCTACTATTATTATGTGGGTGAGGATCATATTTTACACTGGTGTAAATTACACTCTTAATTTTGATCAATGGTCTTTCTTGTATCGAACATTCCTAATATATTACATACGTGAGCCGTTAAATGCAAGTAAATCAATGACTAATATTTGATATAAGACTTCTTATTCTTACATTGATATAAGAATAATTGGCCCTTATTATTTAAATTTTCTATTAAAAAAAAACATAAGGGTAAATGCTAAAATTGAATAGGATATTCATCATATAATTGGAGCATATACAATGGAAATGCTTGATCTTCAATTTGATTTGGATCATATATTGCCTTAACATGCTGCTTGCACCGCAAGTCTAGCTACACCGCTATCATTATCTCTCATAAGACCATACGTTACACCAAATGCATCTTTAGTGACTTTAAAGGCACAAGTCTGTTTTCCAATGCAAGCGGCTTCCACCACAGATTGACTATCAGTAGCTTCCCAAGAGCCTTTCTGGAAAGAACCACACTTACCTTTTGGGCTTCCAAAGCTAGCAAATTGGATTTCTGAAATTACTTGTCCACCTTGGCATGAAAGCTCAAAGTCTTCACCTTCATAGACATTAGCACAAATGGTTCCTGCTGTTACTGTTTGAAATGAAACGTTTAGAGGATTTCCACCAATTTCTTCAAACAAGACCAATGTGTTATTGTCATTGTTCAAGAATGAGCGTGGCACATGGTACCACCTCTGTGATGGATTCCCACAATTCGTGTTGCATTTTTCCTTGACATATTTCCCGCGGTAGTCACACGTGTCACTACATCCATTGTTAGCAGTAATCCAAGAAGGCCAATAACGACCAATGCTGTGCCCATTCACCCAAGCATGTCCTTTACCCAAACCTTGCAAGTCCACCACCACAGGATTTGTTCCTGAAGGAGCATTGAAATCTGCCTTATACCAAGTCATTGGTTTCCCAACAGGATACGACGAATTAGTGTTCCATGATACACCAGTACGTGGTTGCAAATCGTACAAACGTTTTCTCTCACCAGTCAAACCAACCTTGTAAGACCAAAGATTGGTTGACAAATCCATAGTCACATTCTTTGCAATTAATTGAACAGGACCACCTGCAATACCTGTCTTTATCTTATCAAAACCTACGCCATAATTTGGAAGCCCAACAGTGGCACTAAGCAAAGTTATGATGTTTGTTCCTTTCTTCAAAGAAACATGTTTCTCATATGTGAATTTGTTTCCCCATTGGCTAAATTGGTATCCTGCATACCTCCTATTAACATAACCATGAAGAGTATGGCCCATAGTGTCCACGCGAAGAGTTGCATTGCTCCAAATGGAAGTATCGTTGACATCGACACTAGTCATGTACCACAAGTAGTCACTCGCATCCAAACTTAGTTCCTTCTGCTCGAGAAGTTGGTGTGCTTTGAGATTACCCTTTCCATGCATGGTGTCTTTCTTTGCCTCCGGTGTCCATGCCCAAGTGAGCCTAGCAAAAGCATCATCGTTCTTCTTCACCATCACTGAGGTTTGACTATTAACCTTTGCGGTATTGTAAACTTCTTTGTTGCAACCATCAAGAATGCTCACGGACCAAGCGGGTACAAAGTATTTTCCATTTTGTTGTAAGTCAACATTTGCATCATCTTTAGCATTTGAATTGCTTAAGAAACAAAATCTTGCCCCTGTGGCATTGGTGGTGGTGTATGTTGTTAGTGTGACTTGATTGCCAAAATCCTTATCAGTCCTTGTTCCGTTGGTGAGGATTTTTTCCCCTAATTTTATTGCTGCATGAAGCCGCTTAAGATGTCCCCATTTAGGTTGATTCAAATTCCCATACTCATCAATCGGTGCATCATAGTCATAAGAAGTTGTGATATATGGGCCTCCGGATGTGCGACCAAAGTTTGTTCCTCCGTGGTACATGTAGTAATTATTGAGTACTCCACCGCTCTGGAAAAAGCGTGCAACTGAGTAAGCCGAATCTTCAGCACTTCTATGGGGAGCCCTTTCACCCCATTTTTGGAACCATCCAATCCAATTTTCCGTGAACATTTTAGGACTTTTGGGGTTATTAGGTTGAAACCAGTCACAATAGTAACCGTTGCAAGTATTGATGATAGGCTGGGGAGCATCTTTTTGCTGACACATAATCCACGGGACACCAATATTTTGAGCTAGAGCCATTTGTGCACACCATTTGATATATGTCTTCCCTGCGTCTCCATAACCCCACATGATGTCTCCATATTCATTCTCAATTTGAGCAAGAATAATGGGTCCTCCTTGTGATGCAAACAACTTTGCTTCTTTGGCCATGTTCACAATCTTTGTAGTAAAAACTTGCATTTCGTTCTTGTAAATTGGGTTATCTGTTCTCAGCTCAATCCCTGGCATGTTGTGCAACCACAATGGATAGCCTCCATAGTTCCATTCCGCACAAACATAAGGACCAATCCTCAAAATGGCATACAAACCAGCCTCTTGGATTTGCTTGAAAAATTTGACAAAATCCAAATTTCCTGAGAAATCATACTGACGCCGAACAGGTTCATGACGATCCCAAAACACGTAAGTCTCAATAGCATCAAGACCTCCATCCTTAGCCTTTTGAATAATGTCAGGCCACATCTCCACTGTGCTTCGTGGATAATGGACTGCACCAGAAAATATGAGACGTCTTTCTCCATTAATAATGAGAGCATTTGCATCATAACTAACCTCTGCACCAAAGCATGAGTCCAAAAGAGCTACGTATACGCTCAATAAGAAAATCACAACCCAAGAAGAAGCACCCATTGTTTAACATCTACGATTATTCAATCTTAATTTGTTATTGCCACATTGAAATAAGGCACGGGATTTATATAAGAATGTTAGTTAGTTAATGAATAACTAAACTACTAAATTGAGTTCGTGACTTATATAACTGAATTAACTTTATCTACATATAAGAATAATGGATAAGCACTGCTTTAATCTTTATCCACATGCATATGCATCGGCTTATCCAATTATCTTCTAGAAGAATGATTTGTACCGGTTAAGTTTTCTTTGTAAATTTTTCATTCTGTTATATCTCTAGCTCCTTATTCTTAGAGCTAAGAATATCATAAAATCTATTATGTGCTGTTATATATTGTTGTAGATGATAAGGCATGAGACGCGGTACTTATTCGATGCGCTCGTAGTTTTACTTTTTTATCTTGCAATTAAGGCTATTCTGCCGTGTTTGTTGTTCTATCTTTATATTTAGCATATATTTCACACCATTAGAATAACAATATATATTTCACTATGATTTGGAAATTCATTCATTTTTTAATTGGGACGAATAATTCACTTTGAACCTTTGCATTTACCAGGACGTTATAATAGCCACATATATATATATATATATATATATATATATATATATATATATATGTGTGTATATATATATATATATGTGTATATATATATATGTGTGTGTATATATATATATATATGTGTATCTATATATATATGTATATATATATATGTGTGTATATATATATATACGGGTTTTATAAGAGTTATGTTGTAGGAAAAATGATTGTATAATGTTATAGAGATTCGTTTTGCGTGCCTTAACTTTTTTAATTTTTTTTTTTGTTTTAAAAAGTGTGGGTCCCACAAAATATTGTGTGTGTAGGAAATTTGATGGTGTCATGTTAAAAGACAAACTACAATCCCTATATATATATATATATTATATATATAGAGGAGGGATCTTTTGACTCTAGAGTAAGACTTACAACTCTTACTCCTCATCTCAACCGTTGATTTTCGTCTATCTAACGGTTATCTATACCAATTAATTAATTATTAAATTCAAATAAATAATAACAGTTAGATAGACGGAAATCAACGGTTGAGATGAAGAGTAAGAGTTGTAAGTCTTACTCTAGAGTCAAAAGATCATTCCCCATATATATATATATATATATATATATATATATATATATATATATATATATGGGGCAGGATCATCTTACACCGGTGTAAGAATAATAAATCTTACACCAAATCTTAACCATTGATTTTCTACATCTAACGGTTAAGATTTATTAGGTCTCACTCATTAATTAATTTTTAATTTCCAATAAATCTCAACCGTTCGATGCACAGAAATCAACGGTTATGATTTGGTGTAAGATTTATTATTCTTACACCGGTGTAAGTTGATCCTATCCCTATATATATATATTTCTTCGGTCAGCCCAAAATTATGTTATTTTGTTTATTAATTTCTTTATATTAATTGATTCACCTTTGAATGATTATGATTCTCATTTTCTCTCTCTTTCTTTATCATTATTGATCTATCTTTATACGGTTATGATTTAGTAGCCCGAGATAAAGTTATCTCAAACAACTTGAGAATCAATAAGTCCACACACACATGTGTATATATATATATATATATATATATATATATATATATATATATATTAATTTTTGACCGCACCACACACACACACACACATATATATATAGGGAATAACGTTTCTACATTTGTGGCAAAAAAAAAATCTACCACAAAGAATAAATCAATGAAAGAGAAATGGATTAAATGATGGGTCCACTCTTGATTTACTCTATGTGGCTGAAAAAACAAATTCCGTCACAGATACAGAAATTTTATTCCCACATATATATATATATATATATATATATATATATATATATATCTACAATAATTGATTTGCATGTATCTAACAATTCAAATTTGCAATAAATCAGAATCATTAGTCATTGATTTGCTTGCATCTAACGGCTCAAAACCGTGATTTATTGCAAATTTGAGCCGTTAGATGCAAGCAAATCAATGATCGAGAATATTTACATATATTTATATATATATATATATATATGTGTAAAATTATTTCTACAGCCGTTTTACGTATAACAATGATAGATGTATGGTTATGATTCCCCACATTTAATGTTTTCATCTTGTATGGTTATGATTCCCCTCATTTAATGCTTTCAAGTATATATATGACAAGTATTTGATTGCTGCTTGTACAACAACTGTAGAAATGTAAACCCCATTTATATATATAGTCGACTAGTGCTTTTAAATGAGGTGATCATGTTGGAAAAAAAAATTATGTGGGAAAAATTTTATTTATGCTTGCATCATATTGAGTTGGGCTTATAACATCTGTTGGTATTAGGCCTAGTTGTGTAACAGTGTAGGCTTTTTAATATGACCCTGGTTTTCTGTTATGGGTCGACTAATGAACATAAACTCTTTTCGAGGTATTTTGTTAGGTTCTCTCTATAACATATCATAGTTTTAACACATATAATTATAGTTTAAATAAGAAATTAAAGGGTAGGATTAGTGAAAATTCTGAGTTATGGGTCAAAATATATAAAAAGGGTAAAAACGGTAAATTGCCAAACAGTAACCCTAGGAAATGAAATGTGAGTAGAAGATCTAAAATGGAAAAACTAACCTTGAAAATGGATTCAGAATGAAAAATTGAGTGGTTAGGCAAGTTTCTGGAAATTTAATGAATAATGTTTTTATAGTGTAAAAATATAGTGGTACAGTTGCATCAAAAAGTGTGCCGAATGAATTTTGAGTTCTAAGCTTGGAAATAAGTTATAAATGATATATAGACTAAGATTTATCATTTTTGATGAAAATTAATTGAAATTAGAATTTTTGGGTAGTGTGCCCACAGGGCACGTAATAGCTTAAAATTGTGATTTCATAGAACGATCGAAAAACTCTAGATTAATTTGCTCAAGCACAATTAAAGGATACTTATTCGATGCGCTCGTAGTTTTTATTTTTTATCTTGCAATTAAGGCTATTCGCCGTGTTTGTTGTTCTATCTTTATATTTAGCATATAGTTCACACCATTAGAATAGCGATATATATTTCACTATGATTTGGAAATTCATTCATTTTTTAATTGGGATGAATAATTCACTCTGAACCTTTGCATTCACCAGGACGTTATAATAGCCATATGTGTGTGTGGTTGTGTGTGTATGTGGGGGTGGGGTGTTGTTTTAAAATCATATCTAAAGTTGTGTGTGTGGTAAAATTTGCTGTACGAGATATATATATAGGTTCAGGATCATTTTACACCGGTTTAAGACTAATAAGTCTTACACTACATCTCAATTGGTGATTTTCGTGCATCTAACGGTTATAATTTAGGAAGTCATACAAATTAATTAATCATTAATTACACTACAAATACCAACTGATGATTTACGTCCATCAACGGTTGAGATGTGGTGTAAGACTAGTTAGTCTTACACCAGTGTAAAAAGAACTAGCTCCATATATATATATATATATATATATATATATATATATATATATATATATATATATAGGGTTCGCTTTTTCTGCAGTTGCTGCAGATAACTTATCTGCAGTAAGCCTAATACGACGTCGTTTTGAGGCGAAAATCATGGTGTTTTTGTAATTTTAATTTATTTCAGGGTTATTATAGTCTTTATAATTATAATTTTCTAATCTTTCAATCTCAAAACGACATCGTTTTGGAAGTAAATGCAGATAACTTATCTGCATTAACTGCAAAAATATTTTTCATATATATATATATATATATATATATATATATATGGAAAAAATATTTCTCCGGCAACTTGAGATAAAAATCAAATCAACGACTGCGAATGAAATATGCACGAGTACTTTCTATACGTCTTACTATATTATTTTGATAAATTTTTTTGAATTTATATTGATTCTGTTCTAGATATATTATCCAATAGAGTCCCATTATACATTGGGTCCAATAATTAAGGGGAAAAACCTAGACTAGGTCTGTGTAAAATATTTTAAACCTGACCTAGTCTATTAGCCTGGTGCAGGCTAAATTATAAGTCTGAATTAATCTATATTTTAAAAACAAAAAATTTGGACTAGGTCTATTTGCTTGTTTAAGCCTATTAGGAACTCAATAATTAAAAATAATTATAATAATATTATTTTATTATTCAAAATTATTTAAATAATAATTTTTTTGTTTTATATAAAATAAATAATATGATATAAGGTGGCCTGTAGGCTTATTGGTCGGGCCTCGTAAAAGAAAATATTTAATCTGCATTCTAAATAGGCTTTTTAAAAGGCTTAAGCCTTGTTACCAAAAAAGAAGAAGCTTAAGTCTGATCTATTTTACTATATATTTTAGACTAAGTCTAATGTAATATAGGTTAGGCCATATGCTCCTGATAGATTGTATGACCTATTTACACCCTTTTTCCCACCAGAGCACACGGAGAAATGCACTGATGCTACCATCACGACTACTCCATAGATGCTCATGCTCAACCACACTCTATAATCGAGTGCACAAATCTGTTCAGATACTATACAAGTTTTAAAAGTGACATTAAATTAATCTAAAGGCTAAAATAATTTATTTTTTTAAGATTTCTCTACCTGTTTATCGATTAATCTGGTCGATGCAAGCAAGACCACAAGGACAGGAAAGTTCTCCATTTAAAATTTTCAACACAGCTTGAGCTAAAAACTACTGATTAACTTAAAATAATCCCTTATAATTGATCCGCTTGGTGGTTTAAAAGAAATATTCTTATAACTAGGGGTGAAAGTCGGTTGGGCTGGGCCGAGCTTTGCCTCGAAAAATCCAATCCTATGCCAAAAAATTTCAATTTGGCCTAGCCCGAGCTTAGTATGAATCTAACTGTTAGCTTGGCTTGACCCGTTTATATAAAAAAATTTGCTTGGCTTGTCTCGTTAGCTTGTTAATTTTTA